TAAGGTATTATTGCAATAAACCATTCTCACTGTATGGAAATTTCCACCTCACTGCAGGGTTCAGTTCAGTTGGATGAGGGCCAGATGGATTTGTTTATGGTAGTGGTGACATAATAGGAGGAAATGAACGGAGCACCTTCTTGGGTTGAGTTTTGCCAGAGTCACATGGAGTCAAGTTTTGGATCTAGAGGCAGGAAAGCAGAGTACTTTTTTTTAGGAGAAGTCAGTGGCAAATCGAAGCTAGTGCTTCATTTGTAGACGAAAAGAAGGCCAGAAGGTAGAGACTGTGGCCACAAGATAAAAGTGGCCAACAACTCCCAGTTTTTACCAGAAGAGAACAAATACCCAAAGTTTTATGCTTTTCCTTCTTTCATGACTTAGCTGGAGTATTTTAGGGCCATGTTTCTGTATGGCTCGAGTGTGGACAGTGTCCTTAATAGATCTGAGGAAAAAGGGAGTGTTTTTTACAGATCACTGAGATTTTCTGTATCAGGTGCCCATTGCCCATTAGGTCTGACTTGGCTCTACTGTCCTCCCATTATGTGGTTAATGGAAAACCCTATGTGCCTATTTGCACTTGTAATGTTTGTTCTCAGAGGCATCTTGCTATCCTCACTCAACAGATTGCCTTGCTCTGTGGTAATAGGATTTCAGCAAAAACAGGGAAATTTCTTTCATATTTAAATCAGGTTTTATTTTCTCCCTTGACTTAAAAATGGCCAGTTGGAAGCAGAAATTGAAATACAACATGGCTAAGTCCATTGGAGACTTTGGCCAGGCCATTTTTGTAACCAAAAAGATGGCTTCTGTTAAAACGAGCACTGATTTTAATCAGCAGGGCCCCTTAATCAGTAGTCTTTGTGCTCAAGACTGTCTTTTCTCAACCTGCATTGGTCAAGGAAAATGGATTATTGAATTTCAGCTGGCTTCTTTGTATAACTCCATCCCTGGAAATAAAAAGGCACAATGATAATTTTTAAGAGACTGATTTTTCACAGGATCCCGAGTTGGTGAACTGTAAGTTTGCCCATTTCCTTGAGGAGCTCCTTATCTTTTTTTTTTTTTTGCTTTTGGCCTTTTATTTTTTATTTTTTATTTTGGTATCATTAATCTACAATTACATGAAGAACATTATGTTTACTAGGCTCCCCCCTTCACCAAGTCTCCCCCACATACCCCTTCACAGTCACTGTCCATCTGTGTAGTAAGAGGCTGTAAAATCACCACTTGTCTTCTCTGTGTTGCACAGCCCTCCCTGTGCCCCCCACGTACTATACATGCTAATCATAGTGCCCTCTTTTTTTTTCCCCACCCTTATCCCTCCCTTCCCACCCATCCTCCCTAGTCCCTTTCCCTGTGGTAACTGTTAATCCATTCTTGGGTTCTGTGATTCTACTGCTGTTTTGTTCCTTCAGTTTTCCTTTGTTCTTATACTCCACATATGAGTGAAATCATTTGGTACTTGTCTTTCTCGGCTTGGCTTATTTCACTGAGCATAATACCCTCTAGCTCCATCCATGTTGTTGCGAATGGTAGGATCTGTTTTTTCTTATGGCTGAGTAATATTCTGTTGTGTATATGTACCACATCTTCTTTATCCATTCATCTACTGATGGACATTTAGGTTGCTTCCATAAAAGAGCTCCTCATCTTACACTGTTAAATTTTTTATGTGATCTTCAGAAGACATTGACTTCCAATTTGTATCTAGCTCTGAAATTCTATAATCACAGTTTTAGGAAATATCAATCTCTCAAAATGGCGGTGGGGCAGGGGAGATTTGAGAGGTAGGTTTTTATGAAGATGAATAGACAACTTTAAAGTTAATCAATATTCAGCATGCTGGCAATCATCAAAGTATATCAAATGTGTCTGTTATAAGTGCATATTTTATTTATATTCCAAGCAGATTCACACTCAAAATAAGATACCAAGTATTCACACTTGAAAAATGTCTAACCCTGTTAATGCAGTTACAGTAGGTGGAATAAAATGTTCAGAGAATTGAATGATATGCCCAGGCAGGTAAATTCAGAATCACAACATGTTAGCCTGGCACTGCTATAATTTTACCTTATGCTATCCAGTGGCTCATAATTATTTTCTTCCAAGGCCTCCTTGTCATTTGACCAGACTTTGCAGGTACCCTTTAATTTCTTATAATTTCCTCCTCACTTATCTCACAGTGAGTGTTTCTTGAACATTTGGCTGAAGCATATGATAGAAAGAACATTCACAATATCCCAAAGTTCCTGTTACCCTTTGTCCAGGCTTACCTGTCCAGAGAATTTAGTAGGTACTTCCTTAGCTCTCCCCTTCCAATCCCTAATTTCTTGCTTCTTTTTAAGTGTAATTTAACTACTCTTCAGATTTCAATTATCCTGTCTGGGAGTACTTCCTTTGATTTTAGCCCAAACAGCAACAAATATGGTTCAGAGAAACTTTACTTTTAGATTTCCTAGGTGATTCTTCTGTGAATTCCATAACACAAAGTGTAAATGGATGTAAACTCCCTAATTTATATGTCCCAGAATGTATTTATGTGTCCGACATTGCGAAAGAAACAACATAAGGCTCAACTCTAGCCCACAAAGAAATTAAAATGTACATGAGGTATATTCAAGTTGCATACACATGGAACATGTACTACCACCCGCTAATACAGTGCTTTCTGAGATGCCATGTTCAAGGACCCACAGTCCATGAGGGCAGACACTTTTGTGTTTCTCTTTGTTCACAGATGCATCCCCAGTGCTTGAACCAGTCCCTGGAATACAGTAACTACTCAGTAGATGTGTGGAATGAAGTATATAGTCTACTTCCTAAGCACAGATTAAGTATAGTCTAAATATAGTCTACTCTGCTACCAGCAAGTTTCTGTAACCAGAGCATAAGTAATATAAATCACACATGAAAAATGTCTAACCATGTTAATGCAGTTACAGTAGGTGGAATATAATGTTTAGAGAATTGAGTGATATGCCCACTCATTTGTGATTGATCAGTAGAAATTGGTAAGTGGAAACGATATTAGTTAAATAGAATGGTTGTGTTGGTTCACATGCAATTGTTTGCATCACACATTTTGCATCACCAATGAACAGTAGCTGCAAGCAGAACACAGCTAAATCTGAGTTGTAGAGAACACGTCATGCTACGCCTGATGCCCATTTACGCTATGTTCATTCTCTTTGGGTGGTTTGGCCATGAGGTCTAACTTGGAAGGGTTTACTAGGAGGCAGAAATTCAACTCTTATTTGTACGTTGTGCTTATCTTCCTAACTCAGCAGCCTCAAACAACTCTCCTTCCAATCTCTTCATCAGCTACCTCCATCTTTTTATGAAGGTGAAGTCCTACATATTTATTTACTGTAATATTTATTAGGAATTTAACATGGCTCATGAACTCTGCTAATATGTTTTTTGGAAGGGTTACTGTTTTTGTTAGTGCTGTGGTTGCAGTGTCACACAGATTTGAATCATTTGTTCCTAACCCAACTTTCACCATAAACTTTGTTATTTACAGTGGATGATTTCACAGAATGGGAAGAACTGCACACATCCTTTTATAGAAGAAATGTTGCATTACCAACTTCATTTTCTATGAAGATAAATGGGACTTCGCTGTGGGAGAAGATGAAAGGGAGCATTGCAGTTCTGGCAAGAACATTAGCAATATTCCCATGTGGATACAGTATGGAACCTTCTGGGCAGAAGGGAGGAGCCCTGGGTCAGGAGAAGGCTAGGCTCTGAGAAATGGGTAGGTGAATGTTTTTGAGTAAAAGAGTTTTTAAGTAATCCAGAATTTTCTGTGGTGAAGTGCCTCTGGGAGGTTCTAGAACAGGAGGTGGCTTGCCTCCAGCAGTGTTTTAGAAGCTGTAGGCCCGTCTAGATGGACGCCAGTACAAAAAGGGAACGTGGAAGGCGGCCACTAAAACTATGAAGTCCTGAAACCGCAAGAAACAAGAGGGTGGCATGTTAGGCTTGGTAAGGGCACGTTAACTGAAAATACAAGCAAAGAATCAGTGGGAGCAGCTAATGGCAGTGGAGGAGCGAGGCCCCAAATTGACTGTTAGGTTCTGAGTTGACACGACTAGTGGACACGGTTGTCCCAGACAAGAGGCTGAGAAGCTGGGGGCAGGAGCCAGTTTGACGGGGGTGGGGGTGGAGGAGGGTGACAAGAAGGATGTGTTTGGCCAAGTGCCCGTCGCGTTTTTTAAATTGCAAGGAATACTGTTACCTTAATTCGTGGCCGTTTAACTCAGTTCCTTGCTCCCACCCTGGATCAATGGCGGGGAGTTAATAAGTCTCCTCTCTGGACAGTGATGCCTTTTCAGACTGTTGTCTACAGAGCCTTTGAAATTCATACTGCAACCTTACTTTGAGTGCAGGGGAGGATGTTTCAAGAAGCTATCTTTCTACGAATATTCTATGTGTCGGTTAGCACTGTTATTCACCTGCAGACAGGGCAAGGAAACTCACGCCACTTATGCCCAGAGCCTCCTCGCCGGGAGAGGCGGGCGAGGATGGGGGGGGGGGCGGTCAATCCAAACCCCGCTTTGGATTCCGCGGGGCCACCGGACGGACATTCCTCCCGCTCGGGCGGCCTGGGGAGCTGTGCCGGACGCTCCGAGACGCTCTCCGCCCAAGGCGTCCGGCCTATCACCCCGACTCCGACTTCGCTGCTGCTCTCCTCCGCGGCAGGGCGGTGGGCGCTCCGGAGGCAGTTTCTCGAAACTGCCCCGGGAGGTTCGCCGGCGCGGCCCTGGGGACCCTTGCAGGGTTCCGGATGGCGCCGCTGTCCCCCAGCGGCCGCAGGGTCGGGCTCCCAAGCCCCCGGGCCTCCGCCCCTCTTCCCCGGGGATCCCCTTTCGCCGGCGCCCTCCAGGGCCCAGCTGGACACTCCCCCCCGGGAGGCCGGGCCTTGTCCGCCCGCCGCCGCCCCCGCCCCGCCCCGCGCGGGGACAGCCCCGGGCCCCGACCCCTCCCCCCGACGCCGGGCGCGGGAGCGGGACGAGGCGGCGATGGTGACTGGGCAGCGGCGCGGGGCCGGGTCCTGGGCAGGGAGGCTCGGCGGCCCCTTTCTTTCTCCGCCCCCGCCCCTCCTCCTCCTCCTCCCTCCCTGCTAGCCCCGGCGGCGGCGGCCGAGGTCGGCGCTCTCGCTGGCCCGCCTCGCCTCCTCCCCCAGCCGGGACCCTCTCCCTCCGCCGCGCCCCCTCCGCTCGCCGCCGCCGCCTCCCTCCTCCCTCCTCCCTCCCGCTCCTTCCCCGAGCGGCCGGCGGGGCGAGAGCGCGGTGGCTGCGAGGAGGCGTAACGGAAAGCCCCGGCGTGGGGAGGCTGCGGGCTCGAGCCGGAGACGCCGAGAGGGGCCCGGTGAGTGGGCGGCCAGCCGCGCGCGCTGCGGGAGGGAGAGCCCGCCGCCGGCCAGGTGGGGGCCGGGGCAGCCCGCGGGTACAGGCGGGGCCGTCGCGGCCGGCCGAGCCCGGGCTGCGTGCGCGGCCGGCGCGGGAACTTCGCTGCGGCTCCGGCGGAGGACTGGCCCCGGACCCGGCCGGGTGTTGGACGCTGGGAATGGGAGGGAACTGGTGCTCCGCTTTCTCTGCTGCGGCCGCACAAGTGGAAAAACTGTGCCTGGAACAGCGATTTTCTGGGAAGCCTGCGCAAGCCCAGCAACCCCGCCGCGGCGGCGACGGCGGGCACCGCGGCGCGCGAGTCCTGGGCGCAGTTGGCCGCCGTGCTCGGCGCGCCTGGTATCGCGCCCGGGGGCCGCCCCGTGTCGTCCCCGCGGGGCCTGCTCCGTGGCGTATGGGTCACGGCGGCCACAGACGTCAGCTGCTTCTTCGATCTGGGCTGCATATTTGTGGGCAGCGCAGTGATTTGGGGTGCGGGCTGGAGAAGGTGGGCGTGGAGTGGGGAAGACCTCGTCTGGGAATGGGTGGGTTGAGCCCAAGGGATGGGGTGAAGGCTGGGGGAGGCTGTGTATTTCTGTATGTTTAGGCATAAAGTTTTGCTTTGTTTTCCCCTTTAATTCAGCGGCCCAGTGTTTTTTGAACTCAGAAAAGCAGAAGGATTTTCTTCAATCCCGTTCTGCTTTTCTTATTTCAGGAAGGTCTTGGGTTTAGGAAAGTTCATGAGCTGTTTCAGTTGGAGTAAATGGGAATAAAGACGAGGTCTTATCTCCCACCCCCATCCTCACTCCCACTCGGGCCATTTCCTGTATTTCCCGTTTTGTCTGATGTGACCGTGTGCGTGCACGTAAGTTACCATCCGTGACCCACGTGTAAGAAGTGGAACTCTTGTTTGAAACTGCAAAGCGGCCCCTATAGACCCGCGCGTGTTGGAGGCAGAGGGAGGAGAGGTGTGGGTGGGAGGGGGAGGGGAGCAGTTACAGCCTCGTCAACCCTGAGGAACCGAGCGTGAAGGGAGGTTATCACCTACTCCTTGCTTTGCCTTTACCCAGTCACCTGAGTGACGCTAATTTTTTTTTTGGTGTTGCTTTTTCCTGGGCATTCCTGATTCATTCCTACTGGTCCGCTTTAAAAAATGACTTTTCCTTTTCAAATTGAAGACATAGGAACATCTGCTAGTGGGGAGATTCAGTGTTACGAAGATTGAGAAAAATAAATCCCAGATTCTTGTATCTTTTGCTGTCATATATTCTGATAGGCTTGTTATTAATCTGTCAGAAATTTGATTCTGACGAAATAAATAATATTTGAGGGTCTTGAAGTTAAACCAGTTAAAACACTGTATTATGGTTATTTTTCCTAACCGGCCACACACACAGCAGGTGGTGTGGGTTGTGGTTTGCAAATGGCGCTACAAGCAGCCAGAAGACATTGTGTGTTGCGGGAGATGACAAGGATGGTAGAGGGAGTAATTTGTCTTCAGAACAGAACAATTAGGAAGAATAATTACACTGTAAATGAATGTTCTCGAATATAATTTGAGTCGTGATACGTGAACTAGTAATTTGTCTATAGGAAGGCAAAAGGGTCTTTGCGGATGAGACAAAGCGATACCTTCTGGAAAAGGTAATGTCTGCTGTTCACCCACGTAGATGGACTCAGAATTGATGGCACCTGCCTACAGAGATGTGTGGACTGATTTAATTAAAGAGATTTCACTGCATGTAACTGGGCAAAGGCAAGAGAAGCCCATAGTAGGAGAAGATAAAAATCAGTATGTACAAAAGCAACAATTTCTTTTTATTTTTTATATTTTTATTAAAGTGTCATTGATATACAATCATATGAAGGTTTCATATGAACAACATTGTGGTTTCAACATTCACCCATATTATCAAGAACCCCACCCCCCCCCCTCCGCCACCATTACAGGTCACTGTCCATCAGCTAGTAAGATCTATACAGTCATTACTTGTCTTTGTGCCGCCGGGACCTACCTATATTGTGAGTGCTAATTATAATGCCCTTAATCCCTTTCTCCATCCCTCCCCACCCATACTCCCCAACTCTTTCCCTTTGGTCACCGTTAGTCCTTTATCTGAGTCTGTGAGTCTGCTGCTGCGTTCGTTCAACAGTTTCTTTTTAATGAGTATTGTGTACAGCTACTCAACTTCTTTATTGCAAAAAATTGACAAAATAGGACACCCAAATTGGGGCTATTGAGTTTCAGAGGTGCCACTTAATAAAAGAACCTGGGACAATTTATTTAATTTCTCTGTGTCTTGGTTTTTGTATCTGGAAAATGATGGTGGTAACAGTTCAAGTCGAAGAATCACCTTGAAGATTAACTAGGATTGCTTTTTTTGTAGACCTTAGGGTAGTGCCCGAAGCTAAATGCTCAGAAAATATTAATGATGGTTGTCAAGTATTTTAAATATTCAGGAAAAAGTGCCATTCAAAGAGCTGGAATGCAAAAAAAGATACCTGATTTTAAAGGAGCCACTGCTGTTTAAGGCAGACCCTAAATTGAGGCTGTTCCTAAGCCCCTGGCAGCTCATACCCAGAACAACCTGATCTTTCTAGAACTTGCAGGCTGCATCCTATCGGCCCATTGTGGTCGGCCTTTTCTGGGACTCTGGTGCTGGGGAATGTAGTGGTGGCTGTGTGTGGATCTTCTGGCTGGAGCACAGGTGTGGTTTGGAATTCCAGGCCTCACTGCCCTCTTGTGATGGAAGAAGGTTTTCAGGCTCCTCGTTCCACCAAAGTAAATATCCAAATTTTGTTTGAGAAAAAAAGAAAATTTTAGTGGTGGACAAGGTGAGTGCCTCTCTTGGGAATCCTAAAAGCAGAGTTTTACTTAGTTCTTATTGCTCTTAGAAAGATACAAACAGTAAGTCAATGTCTAATCTCTGAAATTTATTTCAAAAGGCAACTTTATGTCTTGGGGTTAATGATACATTGCCCAGTTTTTACTAAAGTTGTACCTAAGAGCAAAGTTAACAAAAGGCTTTCTTGAGCTGGGAAACTATGCTGTATATTGCTTTTCTAATTTAAAAGGAATGCCTGTTTGCTCATTCATCCATTCTTTTATCCTGTCATTCAGCAAATACCAGTGGAGCCTCTCCTATGGGCCGGGCTCTGTTATGGCCTCTGGTAACACGGAAGAGCCCAGAGCAGGCCTCTCCTCTCACAGAGCACGCATTCTGGAGGGGTAGACTCTGTGTGCGAAGGACCTCTGTAAGCCCCAGAAGCTCCCTAAAAGAACCCTGCTGGGAAAGCAGAGGCTGGCTGGGCTTCCCTTCACAAGGACCCAAAGGGAGGGAAGTGATTTGGCCGCAGGTGGTGGCAGGGGCAGCCAGGCCTATAGGTCCTCTGTAGGGATAAGGGAGAAAGGGGGCCTATTTATTTCTGTGCTTTATAAAAGCATGTGTCCAGTTTGAGTAGTGGTTGAGTGGAACGACCAGCCAACGTGCCATGAAAACAAATGGTTTTTCTCGGAGGTGAGACTTCTCAGCTTTAGAAAGGTAAAGAAGGAGTCAAAGGTCAGATCTGGTCATCAGCTAATAAAACCCAGATTGTGTCCAGAGAAGAATCTGCTCTGACACTTGAAAACACTTGACTGTCTCTTGCTTTAGAAGGTGTGACCGAAAAGGGAAAGAGTGGGTAGTTGGTTCCTCAGGAACCTTTAAGGTTTTTCTTTTTTCTGTTACTTTAAAAATTACAATAATACATGATGCAAAAATAATGCATCTGCTTGGCATCTAGAAGGCTTGCAAAGGTCTAAGGTAGTCCGGGTTCTGGCAGTGGTTGGTTGGATGAGAGATAAGGTCATGCAGGGAAGTACCTGCGGGTGTAGGGTCTTGGGTGCTGGGTTGGGCTGTCTGAACTTCATCTAGAAATCTGTGTAGAATTTGGAGAATTTGCAGCAGCTGAATGACGTGATCATGCTGTGCTTTGAAAGAACTCAGTGGCCAAAATGTAGACTAGGTGACAAGGAGACCATGGTCAGGGACAGAAGGTGAGCTGGGAGATGAGTGCAGGAATCGCGGGACTTGGTGAGGGATATGGGGGAGAGACTGACCCTAGTTGATCATCTCCTAGGAGTGGGCACTTAGCAAGACAGAGTCCATGGTGACTGGTGTGGGTCGTGGTGCCATTTGCTGAGTGCTGTGGGGAACTCCAGTTTGGAGAGATGGCAAGAAGTAATGAGTTCAGTTGACTCCAAAACTGAACTGTGAGCCTTCCAGGGAAAGATGCCCAACATGGAGTTGGACACATGGGCAGGAAGAGAAGTCTGAAGCTGGAGATGAAAGGTGAAGTTATTTCTACAGTAGCGGCAAGTGGTTGTCTCATCTGTCAAGGTTTACTGAAAGTGCTCATGGTGAGTGTAATGTATGTCATTGTACTGAATTTTTCTCTTTCACCCTTTTGACAGGCTTAATGGAATAATCAAGCCTCTGGCGTTGGCCTTACATGAACAGACTCTTCCTGGTGTTATTTTGCAGACTTGGTGAGATCTGCTTGTTTGTTATTTTAAACTGAGATAGTTGAGAGGAATGTCCATGGAATGGCTCTGAACATATTTAATAGCTGGGATGTATAATTGATAAAATTGACATCCCTCTCCCAAACACACATACACGTTATGTACAGAATGTTTGTGTTCTCCTTAAAATTCATATGTTGAAGGCCTAATCCCCAGGGTGATGGTATTTGGAGATGGGACCTTTGGAAGGTAATTAGGTTTAGATGAGTCATGAGCGTATAGTCCCCTTGATGAGATTAGTGTCGTAAGAATAGGAAGAGACCAGAGCCCTCTCTACCAGAAAGAGAAGGTAGACATCTGCAAGCCAGAAAAAGTAAAGAGTTTAGGAGCCGAGTCGGACTGTACCTTGATCTTAGTCTTCCAGCCTCCAGAACAGTGAGAAACAACGTCTTTTGTTCACATCACCCAGTCTATTTTGTTACAGCAGCCTGAGCTGACTAATACAGCATCTATATTGCATTTAAGAAAATGTAAGATGACCTTCACTTGTAGAGAATATAAACTAGTTTTATGTGCATCCACAAAACACTAACAGAGTCAAAGAAGTACGTTATCTGCATGTTTTCTTAGTTTAACTGTAATGCCATCAGCTAGTTCAAGAGAAACAACTAACAATGATTTTGAGACTTGGGAGATAAGAAAGGAGAACCTCCCTCAGTGTATTTTGACTTTCCCTCCTCTGGGTTCATTCTGATTTTTGTTTTAAGATCATATTTCTTCACAATTGCTGTTATAGACTACTTAAAAAAGATTTCAACCTAATTAGCTTCAAAACCAGAATTTTAAAACTCTTCACATGGTTTCTAATAAAGTAGGTACTGAACTTTGTGCCCAGTTATAGTATTTGAATGAAGACTATTGAGGGTTTCACAGGTTCATAACAAATAATGTTTAATACTTCCTGAAGTGACACTAGCAGAAAGGCAGCTCTTTCCTTGTCCCATCTTTATGGACAGAGAATATTTCAGTGAATTATAGCCAGGTTGCCTGACTTTTGGCTGCATAAGGGTAGTACATTTAAGATTTGCAGCCCATGCTGATTGATGTATAAAGCCAGGGTGTTAAAACAGTAAATACATGGCATTTCAAAGCACTCCCTGTCTGAAACTAAGAACTCTCCGCTGTGGGTTGACTGTCTCTCATCCTAAAAGTGCACAGACTTGCAGGGACCCCTGGAGTGCTGGTGGGCAGCTTCATGCATTTGTGGTTCCCAGGTCTTTATCTTCACAGGCTCCACACCCCCTCTCCACACACTCATTTTCCCACCTTAGCGTGGTGGTCAGGCTCTCTTGGCCTCTCTGCACACCAAGGAAGAAGGCTCAGCAGGCACTGGGATCTGCAGGCACCTTGGGAACTTGCACTAGGAGAACTCACTTTTGGGGTCATGTCCATGAGGGACAGGCTTATCCACCTTTTTTTTTTTTAAGATACCACATGCCCCTCAAGTGCTGTTACTATTAACTTGAATTTCACTCATTCATAGAAGAGTGAAGTGTGCCAGGTAGACCCCAATGAATGCTTGTTGAATTGTAGGCATGCTGTTTGATTTGTGTGCCGCTGTTACACACTCCTGCTGGGGACTTTGGGTGAGGCCAGTGGGGATTACTAATGCATCATCTGTCTGTGTGGCCAGTGGGAACGCCTTCCTTCCCCCTTCCTTACCTGCTTAACTAGGGTGCCATGGAAAGGAAAACTGGAAGGATATAGGCTCAAATTTTTACTGTTTAACTTGGACTAGCAGGATTATAGGTGACTATTTTATGTTTTTTCCGATCTTCTGTAAGTCACATGTTACTTTTAAAATCAGAACAAAACAATTGGTGAACTGTGTGTGTGTATATATAAAGCTGTATCGGCAATTTCGGGCACAACACTATGTCTTACATGTGTGGTGCAGCCATTATAAAGCAGGTCTCTGTCTTTAAAAAGAACTGAAATTCCTATTTGTTGTAAATATAGTTACAATACTGGAAGGATGGAGAGTGCAGCCAGGCCTCAGGTGCTGTGACCCAAAGCCAGAGGCAATCAGCTTCCTCTGAGCAATAGGAGGAACCCACTCCTTACCTTGAGTGTGTTTTGTTTCATGAACATTGTAAGTGGGATTTGAGAGATGTTTCACTTGGGTGTGTAAATATCTTTCTGATTGATACAAAGTATTGAATAAATCTGCTTGATAAGCAGTGCTGAATTAACTATATACTACACTGATATGTTTGATTTCTTTCTTTTTTAAAATGGTGTCAGTATTAAACAACCGGAACCAGCAGTGAGATCTTAAATATTCCGGCCTCCCCCCATGCCCGGGAAATTAGAGGGGCTCTTTTTCCTCTACTGATTCTATTGTTCAGTATTTTCTTTCTTTCCACACTGAGCTTGTTATCAAGGGCACCTGGAGTTCAAGCTTCCTTTCTCCTGGGGGAGGCTGCAGTTGGGCTGAATTTCATATGTTGTTTTCCAGTTTAGAGGCAGTTAGCCAGTGTTTAAGGATGGCTGTAACTGCATAGGCAGTAGCCTCTTTTAATCTTCAGCTAAGTGGTGTATGGCATACACTCATTCAGGACAAATTAACCTCTTAAAACTGTTTAACATTTTTCTCTTGTCTATAGAGATCAGACTTTCTGAAATTAAAAATAATAGACTGGAGAGTCTGGGAACTACAAACTTGCCAGTAAGCCGTCTTTTTTGTTTTAAATGACTACCATTTGTATGTTAAATATACACTTAAGAAAAACATGGTTCATAACTTTAAAAACAATCTAAAATCACATCCATTTCTTAAAAATGGCAGACTGTTCATGGCAGACTGTCCATTCCCAGATGATTCTACATGGAGAAATATGTTTAAACAGATACTCTGTCATTTGCTCGTTCTTACTGTAGTCCTTCCAGGGTTCTGTAGAGGAAGCTCATGATTTACCCACCTGATTACTGCTGTGCCTGTGTTTGTGCCGTGCTGCAGAGCATAGTGGGCTGGTTTAGACAGGGGACTGGAGGTCGTTTTTGATCTGAGGCCTTTCGGTATGGGCATGATTACGTGGTCTCGTCTGTTGATATGTTTTTTCCAGTTTATGTTAGGTCTGTGGTTCTTTTCTCAATTAGTAAAAAAAGGGCAGCATGAAAGGGAGCTAAGCTGAATGTGGGGAACGTTTAAACTATAATCCAGTGCCAAAAAGCTGTAGCTAGGCAAAGAGGCCACACTGCATGAGAAAAATCCAGGTAGTGGTGGTGATGGGAAAGTGTGGCAGGCTGTGTATTCACCTGTGTGGGCATATTCTGGACGGTAATCAGCTGTGCTGCGGAGGAGCCGCTGCCCCCTTGGCCTGGAGACTAGACTCATGGACACTAAGAGTATGCTAGCTTTCTTAGCAGCATACTTGCTGCTAAGAAACTTGCATGTTTTTAAAAAAATTGAAACATTTTAAGCCATCAAGTTAGATTTCCTCTAGCTTATATATGTGTATTTGATTTTTAAAATCTTGACCATGGGACTTTCCATTTCTTCCTGTGAAATTTCAGGTTTCTCATTCTGGCATGTTGTTCAGCCTACCCAGGTAATTGTAAGTTCTGACCTGGCCATCAGTCATGTCAGCCATCCCCCTGGGCTGTGTGTTGTCCCTTGATACACTCCGCTCCTCCGTCATCAGGTTCTCTGACTTGTTCACTGGTGCTGCTCTGTTCAGCCTCCCCTTGCCATTCTCCTGAGTCCTCTTAGTAACCAAGGGTTTGTCTGCCTTTGTAGTTGGCCAGAGGGCAGAGGGTTGGAGTCTGTGTCAAAACAGAGAGGAAGCTAATCATGCCCGTGACCTTGACCTCATTAACATTGTGCTGGATCCCAGAGAGCCAGCCTTCCACGGTATTGTTTGACTTTGGATTGTCTATTGATTTATGGTCCTGGGGTCCATATTCCTTCCTTCTAAAGGAGGCAGATTTAAGATGAGAATGTAAAAGATCATTGGTACTTACTGCTGCTTTTTAACTCCTAAAAGTTGGGCTCTCCTGATGGTGATTTGACCCCAGGACAAACCAAGACTGACAAGACTGTGAGGGGAAAAAGGCCTCTGAGAATCCGGAGCGTAAGTGGGTGGGCTGACCACCTGGGTGTTCGGCTGCTGGGAATGAAAGTCTCACACTGGCCCTCACCCCCCTTTAAAGCAGGGCTTCTTGGACTTGAATGTGCACAAGAACTACCAGGAATCTTGTGAAAATGCAGCTTCTGATTCAGCAGGCCTGGGTGTGGCCTGGGGTTCTGCATTTCTAGCAAGGCCCCTATGATGTTGCTGCTGGTTCTGAGTACCACACTTTGAGGATCCAGGCCTCCTATAAGCTGGGACATGAATAAGGCTATGAACTAGTCAGCTGGAAGCTGAAACCTGTACGGGCTACCAGGAGGCACCTGTGGAGTCTGACTTAAACTGGTTGCCTGCTGCTTAGGGCTGGCCTCTGCTGGGATGAGACCGAGGCCCTCAGCCCTATCTCTTCCACTCCGGCTGTAATAGTCCTCAGGAGCAGCCGATTCCCTTTAGACCTCAGGGCAGGGAGGTTATGAGGGTGTTGCAGGTCAGGTATGGTTTAAGCTAAGATAGTGGGGAGGTTTTGTTTTTGCTAAATTTTAGTTAAATTGATTTCTTAATTACATGTTGACTGTATTCTATAACTTTAACTAGATAAAGAAGACTCTCACTTCCTTCAATTAAACCTGCATTTTCTCACATGCCCTATAACTTTGAAGTTTGCAACTACGAAGTTTAAAAAAAGTTACCTACTGTTTCATTTGGAGCATTATTTCTGACTTGCCTGACACTCTGCTGGGGTGTTGGCTAGGCATATGCAATCTCAGACCTCTCCCCTGAGGTTTTGGCATTGTAAGACTGAAGTGGATCCTAGGAATGTATTTTTAAAACGAAGCTTCTGTATGGTTCTTATGATCATGCAGGTTCTCGAAACACCAACTTAGAGACATTGATTTAGAAACCTGTGATACCACATCCGAGGGGCACTCTTACCTGCTCTTTCCTTGGCTCCTTGAATACTAAGTTGTAAAAAGTTGGCTTCTGTCCCGTTGGCGTGCACTTCAGTTTTTATCTTGACACATGCTTTCAATACTTACAGAGAGGCCCTTACCTTGGTTGGGACGAAACCAAGAGAGTCCTTTGTCAACAGTGTAAGTAGTTAGTTCTGTGAAGCCATTATTTTTAGGAAGCTTTTATAGACACTGATTACTAAGTGCTTTGGGACTTTCTTGGAGATACTGGACAGAACTTTGGGTCTCTGCAGGGCAGCCTTAGGAATGTCCTGAAGCAGGCTTTTCCCACTCTGTCTCCTGCTTTGGTTCAGACACTGGGGAAAACGAACCTCCCCTTCAAGTAAATGCCGATCTTAAGTGGATGGAGAAGGACCCCTTGTCCTCCACAGACCAGTTTGGTTCTGATCCAGGTTGAGAAATTGGCTTTCTTCATTGTTGTATCAACATTAAGCTCCATTTCTACAGGGTCCATCCCAGCCCCACCCTAGAGGCAATGCTGGCTTATGAAACAGATGACATAGGAAATTATCAGCATGATGAGGTTGGACACCATTATTTTTCAATCGGAACTTGCTTTAGCAGCAGCTCCATACCAGAGGTCTGTGGTTATTTGGAACTTTATTACGAGTGATTTCATGACTGGTACGCTTGCAGCGCCTGTAGAGGTGGTGTTAGAGATGGTCACTGAAATTCAGAAGATTGCTTGTATTTCTCAAATTATGTATGAGCAAACACCAAAGCCCCAGGGACTACTGAGTGAGAGTAACAAACTTCTTGTTTTATTAAAAAAATTGATTCACTTACTGTTGTGCCTAAAATTCTATCATTAGAGAAATTTGGATGAAACCTTTCTCTTCAGGGCTCTTTTCAACATGTATGCATCCATAGGACAGGTAATATATTCCTCATTTATGAAACAGATAAAGAAGGAAATGGTCAGTGTGATGAGATTGCAGGGGATACTTTCAGGAGGGGATGATAACAGGAATAATTTCATAAAATGCTTCCCAAGATCAGCTAGCCAAGATTAAGGTATAAAGAGTGAGCTTTGATGGGGTGCAGTGTGGGTACTGTGAAAGGAGGGCCCAGAGCCACAGAGGGCAGCTGGAGGGACCAGGTGTCCGTGGCAGCTCTGGAGGAGCCCAGGGTCCCTGGGAGGGCAGAACTGACTCTTGTTCACTTATATGTGTGTGTGTGTGTGTGTGTGTGTGTGTGTGTGTGTGTATGTGTGTGGTGGTGGTGGAGGGACTTTAAGATCCTTGATGCATCTGGCATACTTCCATCTGATGTACTCATTTCATATCCACTTGACTAGTTGTAATGAAAAGCCAGGTGATCTATATATGGAAATCAAGATTAAACAGTATAAGTGTACTTGGGATTACTTTGCCCTCTTTAAAGTCTATGTAATTTTGAAATGATCTAGTTTCTGTTTAGCAGGTGAACTTGGCCAGCAGCACAAACCTTCCCTCCCCTGTTGAGGGGCCTTTTCTCAGCGCTGAGAGGAGAGCTTGACTCTTCTAGTTCACCCTTGCCACCTAGAAAGTGTGCTTCAGTGCGTTCTGTCTTGTATCTGCAAAGAGTAATTACATTTCCCAGCAGTTCTCAGCCCCTGGGTGACAAAAAGAACCTCTGGACTTGGACATTCTGCTGCCAAAGCCAAAGCCTACTGGAGTGATGGGGTGTGTATTCAGAACAGCCTGGGGATGGGGTGAGAGCTGCTCTTTTCCTCTGCTGCCTGGGTGAGTCCAAGCCGACAGCAGTTCACAGAAGGACACTCAGGGACAAGAACTCGGGGGGCTTTTCCTAATGTGCTCCCCACCTGCAGCTGTTTCTAGTCCCCTCCCTGTAGAATCCCTGCTCTGTCCTCAGATTGAGCTTAGTGCTCCAAATTCAAAGATTCACAAGATGTTCCTTCATGCTCACAGTCAGGGTCTCGAAATAAAACACACCAAAAATGAAGCCATTTTATCAAAAATAAAATCTTTGTCTTCAGGGGGTTTAATGGTTTGCTGGTATGCAGGAGGGTGGGAACATAGTCCATGAATGCCAGACAGCATTGACAACCACCTGTCCTGGCTTCCCTGGGGTGACTGCTAGCTTGCCCTGTGGCCTTGGGCAAGTCATTTTACCAGTTTGGGCTAGAGAAGGTGAGAGGTTGGAATCCAGGCCTGAAATTTGTGTTCTGGGTCATTTATTCAACCTACACTTATTAAGCCCCTCAGGGAGCTGACAGTCTGGTGGGGAGGTAGTAGAACAGCCGTCACCTTCAGTGTGGTTAGCAAGGTGTGGTGTGCAGAGTGAACAGTCACGTGGGGTGTGGGCACCGGTACACAGGGCAGGTGGCGGGGCAGGAGGACTGGTGCACGCAGGTGCGGGACGGGGAAGGTGGGGAATTCCTGCAGCATTCCTCCTCACCCGGGGCCACGCACAGTCCCTTGGCCTGGTGTGAGGTGCTGCAGCTCAGCCACCCTTGCTGTGGCTTTGGCAAGAAGGGCAGAGCCTGGGCACTGAGTGTGTTTAGGAAATGCAGTGTCTCACCATAGTTGGTGTTGATCTGAATACCATTTTTATGTTTTGGACCCCATTTTACAAAAGGGGTCTTTTGTAAAGCAAACAAGAGCAATAGGAACATAAGCCAGAATGCAAGAATTTGCCTGCCTGCTGTTTACAGAGATATGCTTTTTTGGGGGCGGAGGGATAATTTTTTCTTTTTTATAGAGAGAAGGTAGATATTCAAAGAGACGCAGCTGAAGCGAGCTCTTCCCAAGCATGAACTCCTTTAGGCACCTGGGCCTCAGCATCTCCTTAACTCACAGTTTGTTCCATATTCCAGAAAGAAACTCAACTTCTGATAAAACCACATCGACCCTTCTGGATGGCTTCACTGCTTTTTTCCTGAAGTGGTCAGCTTCTGTATCTAGGTGGGAGGAGAAACGTTGTCTAAAAGGAGATGCACGCGTGCACTTTCCTGAAGCGGGAGGCCCCTTTGCCTGGCTGGAAACAAACAAGGGCTGCAGGATGGGGCGCAGTGGTTCCAGCCTTCACTCAGTGCCACGTCTCCATCCCAGGGGTGGGCCTGCCCTCTCTCCCCATGAAGTGCTAGGAATGGTGCCAAACCTCCACAGAATCAGCTTTGTGTATTTTCTTTTAAACAGAAATAGGCATCAACAGTTAACAGGCTGGGGCTAGCTCTGTGCACTGCCCTTCAGTTGGGCACTGCCCCCCATTCCCTGCTTACTGCCTTTGCAGGGCATCCGAGTCACCTGAAGGACTGGTTAAAGCACACATTGCTGCTCCCCACCCCCAGAGAGACTGTGTCACTAGGTTTGGGAAGCACTAAGAATTTGCATTTCTAATACGTTCCTAGTTGATGCTGATGCTGCTGGTCTGGGGTCCACACTTTGAGAACTTCTATAACACCCAGGCATTCCTGGACGTTCTGAACGGTGTGTTGAGACAAACAGAGTTTGCTTATAATGGAGTGTCTGCCTGTGGGGGATCACCTAATGCTGGAGGAACATGTCATTCAGAAACAGTGGTTCACTGGAGTGCCAGAGGGAAGCCTTGCTCTTTCTTTCTATCCTGAACCATCTTTCTTGTTTGTCCCCACAACAGACCAGGGATGTGGCATTTGGGGTAGCTGGAATGGGCTTTTATTGCCTTCTTCCAATCCCTTCTCTCGTATTGCAAAAAGCTCTCTGAGTCGTGCTACTCTCCTACCTAAGACCCTTTGTGGGCTTGCCATTTGTCTTAAGATATTTTAAGTGGCTGCAAGACCTTTGTGATTGCCTGTCTCTACAGTTCTCTTGCCAGGCTCCCTCCTGAGCTCTAAAGTGCCTCAGTGGTCAACAACCACTTTTGTTTGTGAAGTCACTGTGTTCTTGCTTCTGGGGCATCCCATTCTGCTGGTCCCTTTGCCTGGCATGCTCTTTGATTACCTTCTCAGTCTGGCCACCCCCTGCTTGTCAGACCTTGGCTTACCCATCACTTGCCCTGGGCAGCTTCCTTTGACCCTCCTGGGATCACTGGGGCCTGTGTAAAGGCTCCATCTTGTCTTGTGTTTTCTTCAGTTCTGCTCTTACCAGCTGCATCAGGATCCCGATTACTACCTGCTTCCTTCCTGTCTTTGTGGATTTTAAGTTCCCAGAGGGCTTCAAATGTTCATTCATGTGACTCCAGGCTTGGCATAGTCATTCTGTGAGATAGATACTGCACTGGAGGAAACCGAGGCCCAGGCAGGTTAAGTACCTGGCTTACAGTTGCCACTGTTTGATAACACAGGAATTCTCACCCAGGTCTCTTTGACCCAACCTCTTGGCCAGGTGACACTGGCCAGGTTTTCTGCTCTTGAGACCAAGGAGCCCTAGGCGTGGTCTGTAGCTCCCTACTGGGACCATTTAAAGACCAGCTATTCCAAGTTAACAAAAATGACCCTTTCCTGTCATTTTCCAGGTAAACTGAGAAGCAGACTCTTGGGCTCACAGCTGACCTGTGGTTTTTGCATCTCGCTAAGGAGCACCTTCTCATAAAGGTAAGGGGTTGGTCCCTAGGGCCTGCTCGTGCAGGTTATGGGAAAACTTTGGCTATGACAATGCATTCTGATAGCCACCCAAAGTTCTCACTCATTGAAAAGAAAATCCTTAAATGTAGGGCAACAACTCCTGTGAGAAAGGGAAAGTGGCCCCCTGCCCCTGTTGGGAGTTCCTTGGTGAAGATGTCTGCCCGGCTGGCTTTTTCCTGGGCATTGTTGGCCTGCTTATCGCCCAATATTCTTTACTTGGGCTGGGCTGCCTTCTCCCCTCCACTTGAGTTGGTGCTTTAGAATTCTTTTTCCTCACTTAAGACTCAGCCCAAATTTCACTTGTTATTTATCAAACTATCTGAAGGAGAGGCTCATCAGAACATAAGCTTTTTCTCAACTTTCCAGCAAAATGAATCTGCTCATACAACATGCTGCATTAGCCACCGGGAGCTTTACTTGTCTGCGCACAGCTCTTCCCTCTGCGCTGTGAGTTCCTTTTGCTGCCATCTCCCACCTAACATGACTCCTGGCATGGAACAGACTTTGAGTAAATGAATAAATGTTAGCCTGAGAAAAAAAGATGCCCTAGTAAACTAAACTAAGACACAGCCACAAAAAATCATAACGTATTCCTAAACTGATGAATGATTTGATTTGTAAAGTGCCTTTCTGGATTAATTCCATGGCTGTTTGCTCATATCACCACCCGTAATTGAGAATTTTCCATAGTATATTAAGTCAATAAGTGTTTAGATTCTTACCCTTGTTGAAAAGGATAAAAAGTTTTTATGTCACTGTCTTCCTCTTGAGTAGTCAGAGATGCTAGGTCATGGAACAGTGCTGTGTGAGATCCCGTGCAGCCCCGAGCAGCCAGCCCTCTTGGCTGCCCTGGAAGAGAGGGTTGTTGACTGGACCCTGGGTACCCTGGTCAGCCTTGGGATTGAACATGTATCCAAATGTCTAGGCAGGCAGGGAGCAAAAACACTTTCCCATTGGACAACCCAGAGGAAATGAAAATATTTCTGAGTGGTGTTAGCATTTGTTTTAAAACTCCGTTTAGGTTTAAACATTTTTAATAAAAACATTTAAATCCATTGTATTTCAGTTTTCCCTACATCTTAGTGTGTTGGATTTTTTGAGAGGTACACTTTGCCCCTCCTGTGGGTTGGTAGTAGCAACCCTCAGAGTGGTGGGTGACCTGGACATTGCAGGCAGAAAGCGGCCTGGGTCCTTTCAATAACTGGGTTGGGTGGCTGAGTTCATGGACACCCGGGCGGTGGTCCTGGAAGCTCTCCAAAGACCACTTTCCCATAGGAGAATCTGGCCTTCAGTTTTTGCTCCTCCTCCTTATTCTGCTTCTGTGTTAATACTACCCATTGTTCAGCCTTACCAGTAGCTTTGTTTGGGAGTGTGCAGCACTTAAGCAAGAGTTTATCCTGTGGTTTCTGTATGTGCTCTCCACAGCCTATGGAGGTACCACCCACAGGTCTCATGGAAGAGCAGCCACAGAACCATGGTTTCTTTTGCCTGCTGCTGAACCCCAGACATACAGTTGCCTAAAGGAGACTCGAGTGAAAGACAAAGCAGTTTAAGAAATTTGACTCTCAGCTGACCTTGTTCATGTTCTGAAAGTCTCTTAGGGCTAAGGTAGGGTGAGGACTTCAGCTTTGCCCAGGAATTTCCAGTCTCCATGGAATTCAGTTTGTCTATCATGCTTGAAAAATAAACTTAGAAAATAAGTTGCAGTTTAAAAGTCCAGATGTTAAAATATGACTGGGTTTTAGCTTTTTAGTAGGTTTGGAATTTAACATATTACCGACTTGTGTTGCACCATCCCTGCAGAAGCCGGATTCAAGGTGATGGTTGTGTCTGGGCCTCACGCTGCCAGACACATGGTGAGTGCTTACCAATTACTAATAATTATCTGCTCATTGAGGTTCTTTACAATACAGTTCTAAGCTGGTTAGGAAAAGAATGAGGTAGGTCAAGTCACCAAGTTACTGAGCTGGTTCCCCTTCTCACAGGGGCTGTCACACACACTTGTGCATTGAGGCACATTTCACAGAGCTCTCTAAGTGAATCTTGACAATCCCATATTATCCTAATTAGAAAGTCTAAGGAGTGATACAGCACCTCAGTTTCCCTAGAGCTTGTGAACTTTGTTTTGGAATTCTAATAGGGCTCCCTTCCTTCATCCAGTGTGCTGGTAGCTGTTCCTAAAGAGGTGACTGGTAGTGCCTCAACAGTAGACTCTGATCAGCGCCTTTGTGTATTGGATGTAGCTGATTTGGACCACTGGCCTTGATCCAAAGATGCTGTACAGCATGGGCCCTTCGTGTCAAGGGCAGACATTTGGGAGCAATCAAAGCAAAGGCAGCTCGTGGACACAGCAGCTGGTCTCCTGGTCTGGGACTCTGGTGCTACTAGCATGCTGGTCTCTACCAGTGGTTTCCTTTATTGTTGAAATGTCTGGGAGCTCAGACTGCAGCTGCTTACAGATACACAGGAAAAATAAATGGCACAACCCTGTTCAGGTGTCTTCGTTTTCTCAGGTGAAGCCTTTAAGTTTTCTTTGTTTAGGAGGCAAAGTCTCCAAAAGAGGCTTTGAAGCTTCATTGTAAAGCTGCACGCAGGTATTGACATCTCTGGGGATAGTTTGCTGTTTTTATTTCCAGAGCACAATCAATGCATAATTTAGGAACCACTTTTTACTTGGATCAGGTTGCTGGTCCGCTGTGGTTTGTTGTCTTACCCACTAGAGGAGTTTTGTTGTGAATTTGAAAGATAAATTATAAGTACTTCTTCCCAGAGAAGTTGGTTTTAAGTGGGGTATCTTTGGCTTTTGCTTTGCTAAAGGATTGGAAGTGTTTTGATGATTTTCATGTCTCTTTCAGTTAGGAAATGATTGTTGCCTGTTTCTTAGCATCTTTTTTTTTTTAATTAAGGTATCATTGATATACAGTCTTATGAAGGTTTCACATGAGCAACATTGTTTCAACATTCGTCCATATTATCAAGTCCCCACATACCCCGTTGCAGTCATTGTCCATCAGCGGAGTAAGGTTCTGTAGAGTCACTACCTGTCTTTCCTGTGACCTCCCTATATTGTGATTGTCTTAGCATCTTTTTATGGTTATGAACCTGAGTTGGAAGGAGGCCTTCGGGTAACTAGTTAATAAAAGTAAATTTTCCAAATAGGCAAAAGACAGCAAGAAAATTTCCTCTACTGTCTTTTTTAATGACAAAGAGTAGATGCTCTGTGTTTTCCCTATCAAGCATTTCTTAAATTGAGCAGCTTCTGAGGCTTTGGGATTTCTGTTCTCTCAGGTTCCTTCTTCCAAGCTGGAGGAAGCCTTGGTTGGCTCCCTTTAGACCTGTTCTGTTGGTACTTATCTCTCCTTCTCTTCACTTCCTGGTGGGCAAGCCCCCCTGCTCCCCTCGCCTGCATTTTCTATGCCTGCCTGGGGTTGCTCCAAAGGAGTCCTTCTGCCCATTATGGTCACAATCTGAAAAAGAAAACAAACAGCTGAAGCTCCCATTGCAGCCCAGCAGGCCGGGGAAAATAGTTCTCATTCTCCTTACTCCTGGGTTCAAAAGTGCACTTAACAGTTTATGGGGGTGATCAGCTCTCCCAGGGTGCTGGCTTGAGTGGGTCTGTGTTTCATTCAGCCTGGTGGACAATTAACCCCACTGACCGCCTCCTTTTGCCTTTCTGGCTGAGTTGACATTAAATGCTCTGGGTGAGGAGCTGCCGCTGCTCCTTTGAGCAGGGCACCAGGCAGGGGTGGAGAGCCATTTGATCTTGTTCAAAGGGGATGCTTGTGAAGCATGAAGATTGAACGATGGTGACCCCACCCTGGGGGAAGGAGAAGCGCCCTCTGGAGCACAGGCCTGAAGGAGGGAGCCGGCAGTTACTAATCCCATTGGCTTCTGGGGCTTCCAGGTCTCATATCCATTTAAAAGAGAGAGAATTGGGGTTAAAGGTAATAAAATAAGCCTTAAATTAGAGGAGCAGGGGGTCATTTCATCGAATTTTGTGGTTGTTACTGAGGAATAAAAGGCAGAGGAGATCACTTCATTAGCCCCTTTGAGATCTTTATCTTGGGGAGATGGCACCTGGGGGTGTTGCCCAGCCTCAGAGGGGCCGGCCTCTTCCCTCCCAGGAAACCTAGAGCTAGATTGCTGCAGCACAGGGCAGGGCTTGGGGAGGCCCTGTAGCCATCCACGGCCCTGTGGTCTGGGCACAGTTTCTCCTGCTGTGAGTGAAAATTAGTGACTTAAAATGGTTATTACAGGTCCCAACATACCATTTTGCCAGTTACTCGGGAACATGTCATTCATGCTGAGAATGAAGTGATCCAGTGGACAAGAGAGCCCATTTACAGTTGGGACGGTGTCTTTCACTTCTGAGGAAGGCATGCCAGTCACCTGTTGATTTATTTGGAGTCTGATGGGCATCCAGTTCCTTTGAGCTGAGCAGGGTTGAAAGTGTTAAGCCAGGTGGTGGGGAGTAAGCGCCGGAGTGGGAGCTGTGCCCTCTGTGTGTGAGTGCTCTCCTGTGCGCAGTGTGTATTCCTATCTGCAGTTTCCTAAAAGCACTGCTGGTCGGCAGGTATTGCTATCCTTGTTTACAGAGAAGGGAAGTGGGGAAGAAGAGGTTCTGTGACTTGCCCTAAAATCTCCCTGTAGGGAAGTGTGGAATCTGGGATTCTAACTTTCAAATTAAGTCCTCTGTGATCATAATTAGAAGAAAGAGGAAAGAGGAGGAGCAGGTGAATGATAAAGAGTCTTCCAAGAGAAGGGAGAGAAAAGTGGTGGTGAATGCATAGTTCTGTGTGTCCACCACCAGTTGTTCCCCGCGGCAGCTTGCCTTTCTGCTGAAGGGGAGCAAAGTGACCAGGGTGGGCAGTGCAAGGTGAGGCGGGATGGGAGCTGGGGAGAGGGGAGGACAGCAGGCACTCTTGTCCCTCTTCAACAGTCATAAGTGATGTATTGAGGAACTTTTGATTGCTTTTGTGTCTCCAGCTTCTCCCTCTCTACTAACACAGTTCTGCTTGATATTTGCGGACGTAGCTCTGAAAAAAACAAAACTTCTATTAAGATGTGCTAAAAACTCCTTTACCACTGGGAAGTGCATTTAATCATAGCTTCAGTTTTAAAGCTCTTATAAAAATTTATCCTCCCTTTGATATAGTAGCTGATATTTCTCCCTTTATAGGAGTTGTTAATGGAGACTATAGATGTCTCCTCTCTTTTGGTGCATGTGGTGACCTTAGAAGTTCCAGAAGGTAAAATTCTAGCCAGGTGTTTTCCTGAAATGTGATCTGAGGGGAATTTTGGGGCTGGGAGCAGATTGTCACTTGTTTCATTAATGCTTCTCCACATCCTGTATGAGAACCTTTGCCTGCAGTGCTCAGAGGCAGCGGGTCCTCTTGGCTGGGCCATGTGCTATTCTTTCCTTCATTACTCCGGCTAATCAGAAGTTGGCTGTACTTCAGTGCCTCTTAAAAGCATCTCTCCCTGGCTGTGTCCGGGAAGTTGAAGTGCAGTGTCAGAAATGATGTGAGTTGATGAAGAAGAAATAAACAAAGCCAGGCAACATGTGGGGAGGCCTTGGCAGCCCTGCTCCTATTTTTCTGTAGTTTGATCTGAAGGAACCAGATTTCTTCTGTGTGGAAGGAATGGTGCCGTGAGGCTCTCTGTGCCAAGGAACTGGAAGGTGCATGCCAGTGGGCCTTCGAGATTAGGGTTCCACTTAGTCTAATAAACGCTGGGATGAAATGAGTCGTTTATGCTTGGCAGAATGGAGATAAGTCACACATCTGCAGTCTGAGCTCCATGGACGTGGAGTAAAAATAGCATCTGTTCAGGGAAGCAGAACATCCCAGAATGCTTCAGTCCCCTCTTGGCACTAAAGTAGAGAGTAGAGAACAGGAAAGCTGGGAGGAACTTTAACGAGCTTCTTGTCCAGGCTGTTCAGTTTCAGTTAAGGCACTGAATGACTTGACCAAAACCCCACGAGGATGGCGACCCTTGTATTTCTTGTTTGTTCACATTCATACCTTTGGTCCCTGGCCTGCATTAGGTGCTTAATATGATGGATGATATAAAGATGACTTCTGACTCCTAGCCCAGCACCCATTGAGTACTTTTATAGGCTGAAAGTCTGAAAGAAGTGATACCAAATAGCTTTTACATCATTGAGGCTTTCTTATGATTACATGTAGATCAGAAAATTGAGCAATTTTAAGCTGATTTCCTTAAGTTGGCAGTGAAGTTGAGGGGAACACAGGCGTTCTCAGGCTTGAGGGTTGGGTGGGAGGCAGGACTGCTGAGTTGTGGTCTGCGAGTGGTGCGCTGTGGAGAGGTGATGACCCCGATCGTCCACCCTCCCTGGAGGAAATTAAGACAACTAGGGAACAGATTGGCTTGAAATTGCCCTTCTATCCAAGAACTGTATCCAACAGTTGGGAGCCCACCCTACTTCTGTGTCCCGATTGCCTCCTTTTTGTAGGGACATGCTTCTTGGAGTTACAGAACTTTGAATCTGTTCGTGGAAGTGCGTGTGTGTACAGGACGCTGTAGGTGTGACTCGAAGGTCAGGAGACATTTAAGCACTGTGACCATAGAGGGAGGGCTCATGTTAGCCAGTAAATCAGTCTCTACCCTGCTGTCAGTGGCCTCAACCAGGTGAACCGGGTCGTGCAGGCAGTGTGCTGGGCTCAGAAACCACAGCAGTGAGCCACGCTGTTGCCTTGAGACTGGTGAGGCAAAGCATAGCCACTCATTTATCTCCCTTATTTAACTTCCCGGTTAATTCACAAAAAAAATTTGGCTTTACAGGGAGTTTTAGAATTCAGAATAGTTACAGGAGATTAATTCAAGAGGAGAGGTT